CTCTGATTCTGCCTCCCCAGTAGACTGCTACAAAGAAGGCAGCACCCGCAACAACAGACTGGTAGAAGATCGCCAGCATCTTGGTGCACACATTAAAGGACCTGAGCCTTCTCAGAAAGTACAGTCTGCTCATCCCCTTCCTGTACACAGCCTCTGTGTTGGCCCAGCTGTGTTGGTCCAGTTTGTTGTCAAGCAGGACACCCAGATATTTGTAGGTGTCTACCAGCTCAACGTTCTGACGCATGATGGTAACGGGACTGATTGTGGTCCTCTTCCTCCTGATGTCCACCACCATGTTCTTGGTCTTGTTCACATTGAGGATCAGGTGGTTCCTTGTACACCACCCAACAAAGCTTTCCACAAGGTTCCCATACTCTCCTTCCTGCCCATCCCTAATGCACCCGACCACCACAGAATCATCAGAAAATTTCTGAAGGTGGCAGTGGTCCGACCTGTATTGGAAGTCCGTCGTGTACAGGGTGAAGAGGCAAGGGGAGAGCACAGTTCCCTGAGGTGCTCCAATGCTGCTGACCAGATGGCCTGACAGACAGGTTCTCAACCACACATATGGGGGTCTTCCAGACAGGTAGTCCAAGACCCATGCAGTCATGTACTTGTCCACCTGCATTTTCTCCATCTTCTCCCCCAGCATGAGAGGTTGGATGGTATTAAATCCACTTGAGAAGTCAAAGAAAGTGATTCTCACTATGGTGTTGTTCTGGTCCAAATGGGAATGTGGCTTCTGCAGTAGATAAATAACAGCATCATCCACGCAAACCTGCTGTTGATAAGCAAACTGCAGGGGGTCCAGGAAAGAGCTGACCTGAGGTCTCAGATGTGACAACACTAGTTTCTCTAGGGCTTTCGTGACATGGGATGTAAGGGCCTCTGGTCTGTAGTCATTGAAAGAAGAGATTGTTGACTTCTTTGGAATAGAAACCATGCAGGATGTTTTCCACAGCACTGGCACACTCCCTTGTTTAAGGCTCTGGTTGAAGAGATGCTGAAGAATCCCACATAGCTGAGAAGAACAAACCTTCAGGACTCTCAGGCTGATCCCATCCGGTCCAGCAGCCTTGCTGACTTTCAGCTTCTCTAGCTGTCTCTTCACCTGGCAGATTGTCACCTCAAGTAGGGCGGTGCAAATCTTCAGACAATGGCTGCGAAGTGGGAGGGTGTGATAGGGGTGTGAGAGAAGCGTAGGTGGAGGGAGAGTGGGCCTGCTGATGGAGGGGGATGGTGTTGTGCTGAACATGTTAAAGAATACGTTCAGCTCGTTTGCTGTGTCCAGACTGCCCCCCCACAGTTTGTTGCTTTGTCTTGAAGCCAGTGATCTTCATACCAGCCCACACTTCTTTTGCATTGTTTTGCAGAAGTCTTCCCTCCGGCTTCCTTTTATAGGCCTCCCTGCACTTACTCAGTCTCCCCTTCAGCTCTCTCTGTACACTCCTTAGTAGCTCCTTATCCCTCAAACTCAAAGCCTGCTTCTTCTTGTTTAACAACTCCTTCATGTCCTTGGTGATCCATGGTTTGTTGTTAGGAAAACAACGCACCTTCCTGGCAGGAACAATAGTGTCCATGCAGAAATTGATATAATCAGTGATGCAATCTGTCATCCTGTTGATGTCTCCACTAGCTGATTCACACAAGACTCCCCAGTCTGCGGTCTCAAAGCAGACCTGCTTCCTCAGCCTCTGGTGACCACCTTCTGATTGACCACTTTGTCACTGGTTGTTTTAAGACCACAGGCTCGTATCCGTAAGCATCCTTAACATTTGCATACAGAAGATCCAGCACTCTGTCCTCCCTGGTTACACATTTAACAAACTGGTGGAACTTTGGTAAAGTGGTGGAGAGTGAGCCATGATTAAAATTCCCAGAAATGGCAATGAAAGAGTTTGGGCACCGAGTCTGCTTTTTTGGAATGGGTTTGTATTTATTTATTGATATTTAAAGTGACTAGAAGTAAACAACCTCTGTGGCAAACCTTATATAAATATTATTTATCTGCCAACATTAATGCGCAGTTAAATAGCCCCTATATATATATATATATATATATATATATATATATATGTGTATAATTTTTTTCTCACTGTGAGGACTTTTACAGGTAAAAAGTCTTTTAAAGCAAAGTATTTGTAATGATCCATAATGAATTTACTTCCAATATTTCCTATTAATAAAACAAATGGAAGTGATGTGGCAAGTGAACTAGAAGGCTCTCATTCACTGCTCTTGTTTGGAGCACATGAGACACTGACTGCCACTCATCTGTGATAAAATGCACAGTTACGGTGACATAAGATTCTGTGGCGATGGATGTCCATGCAGCACATTTTCGGTTTTGGTGTTGTTGTAGAGAGTGGGGGGGGGGTGTCGCTGTGTCAGTAAAATATCTTTGAGACGGGACGCTGTATCTCAGCTCCAAAGTGTGCAACACAGCTCAAAGCCCTGGTTTTCAACGACCGAGAATGAACGCAAATCCTTGGCAATAAAAGCTGCAACAGAGTTTGTAATTCGCTTCCGAGTTGGGTCGAAGCTTTGACATCATCTGCTTGATGGTCCTCTGTTTAGCAGTAAGTACAACTGCTAGGAAAACAAGTGGAAACATGTAATATGGTTTCTCATGTTTGTCATTTCCAAAATAGTTTAGTGTGACACAACTTTCATATAGTATGGCTCTTATCCAGGTCCCTTTTCCCCTGGTGTGCAGACTGCATGTCACATAGCTAGCAATGCAGACTCGCCTAGCTAGTAGCTAACGAAAAGGCAAAGAGAAAGATTTAACACCAATATTTGAGATGAATGGACTTCGCATTTGCATTTATAAGCACCGCAGTTGGTTTCCTGGTATGTTAAATCTGTAAAGACACACTGTCAAACACTAAAAAGTTGTGAAGATGAAGTCAGCTTCTCTTTTGAATTTTCCTGTTCCACCTTAAATTGTGCCGCATTTACATTCTGGTGCCTCAGGCAGAATTTAAGGTGGAATGAAAAAAACAAACAAGAAGCTGGTGAATAACAAGCTGACTTCTTATTCCTATGACTTCTTATGACCTAACCTAGCTTTTAATGCAGAGAGTTCTGCCTTTTCTGCCTCCGTCAAAATTACTTTTTAAATTGATTTTTGACATTTGTGAATCAATTCAAAATTGTCCACATCCCCATTGCGATGCACCTAAGAATTGATTTCCCCCACCCCTAATATATATATGAACTACTTTAAGAAACTGAAGCTAAAACTTTTGGAATGGCCCTCAGTTATATTGCAGAACCAGAAGTGTCCTGTAAGGAAGAGTAGGAAAAAAATCCCTAAAACATAAACAGAAAGATGCCTAGCTGGACAAAAGAAAAAAATCTGGTAAAAAGGATGGTACTGAGTACTGACTTGGTATAGCATCCAACTTTTAAACATTCTATATTTACTATTTACTTTTTTCTATGTTTAGTGTTAATCAAATACAAAGTATTTGCATTAGCAATGTATTTTTAAATAGTTTGCTGGGTTTTTTTTGTTTCAAAAATCAACAAACTATGGAATGTCCAAGGTTGTTATTGTGAATTTACTGTGAAGCATAAACATTCTAATCTTTTTTTTATTTAGTATTTCCATTTGAGACTTTTTTCTTGTTATTCTAGGAATAGAAGACCTATATGCTTGAGATTTGTTGGAAACAATTAGCAACATCCTTCCAGAAAGAGCTGATTGCACAGGAATCATTTATTATTTAGAGTTTTTCTGTTTCACTGTTGGTTTAACACTAAACTCTCAAATTAGGCAAATATCTGATCAGTATACATTCTGATATTTAGAATGATAAATTCTGATTAATAAATAATATCATTATTAGGTCTATGAGAACATAATCTGATCATGTCTAAGTGAAAAGAATTTACTGCAACATGTGGGTTGAAATGGCTTTGACACTGTCTTACATTTTATTTTTCAATCATCATTTATTTGCTGAAATCAAAATATTGAGAAGAAAAATAAAACTTTAGCCAGTCCACTAGTGTAATTTTTGTAAGGGCTCATTTGATTCATTAGGCCTTAAAGCAACTGAGGTGCAGACAATTCCATAGCATACTAAATTCTGTAAAGCTTTAAACCCTGAGGATCAGAAGCTAAAGATAATTGACACGTACACAGCAAGAGAAGATTATAAAGGATATCTAAACACTTCCTGTTTGTAATTTTCAATGTCATGTCAGGCCAGTAATAAAAAGACATTGAAGACCTACATCACTGTCAAGGACCTACAGAATGATAGGCCATCCTTGAAATATAAAAACACATAAAAATATAATGTGCTGCTGAAAAACCATGATATTCGTTTTCTCTTAATCTATTCAGAAGTGCTTCTTTCGGTAAATTGCAAGATCTGTTATAAGTTTAATTATGTCTTGCTGTATATTGGCTCACAGCAAGAAGGGCCTGGGTTCGATTCCCGGCCGGGTGACCAGGGTCATTTCTGTGTGGAGTTTGCATGTTCTCCCCATGTCTGCATGGGTTTCCTCTGGGTACTCCGGTTTCCTCCCACAGTCCAAAAACATGCAGTCAGGCCAATTGGACATGCTGAATTGCCCTAGGTGTGAGTGTGTGTGTGGATGTATATGTCTGTTTGTCTGCCCTGTGATGGACTGGCGACCTGTCCAGGGTGTATCCTGCCTTCCGCCCGATGACAGCTGGGATAGGCTCCAGCACCCCATCATGACCCAGAAGGATAAGCAGTTTAGATGATGGATGGATGGATGTATATTGGCTGAATTTTTGTGGCAGTTAACTTTTTATGGTCCTAAACAGGTAGCTTCTAGTTAGAGGGAAAAACCAGTAGCTGTGTTTTTTGTTTTAAATGGGATCACATGAATGAATAATCAAGCAATGAGTATCTTTTGCACTTATTTCTGAAAGTAAAGACAAAGTAGAATATGGAGAGCAAGGTAGTTCTATTACAGTTCCCCTGATTATACTATATACTATATTCTGATTTTTTCAGACTAGCTGGGTGTGGTCTCACCAAAATGTCCTGTGAGAATCTATCATCAGCTCTACAATCCATAAACTCATCTCTAAAAGAGCTAGACCTGAGTAACAATGACCTGCAGGATTCAGGAATGGAGCTGCTCTCTGCTGGACTAAAGAGTTCACACTGTAAACTGGAGACACTCAGGTGAACTTCCTGTGAATTTTTAAATAAAAAGGAAAGCCATAATAAACTGCAATCTTACAGTAATAAATGTATGTGTAATTTTAATATTCATTTTACATGAATTTAAACTTATACTGAATCTCTTTCTCTAGCCATCCTTGAAATATAAAAATACAATAAAAGTATAGTACGCTGCCGAAAAAAAAGTTTATCATATATTGGTTGCATTTTTGTGGCAGTTAACATTTCATGGTCTTAAACAGGTAGCTTCTACTTAGAGAGAAAAAACAATGAATGTGTTTTCCATTTTAAATGGGATCACATGGATGAATAATCAAGCTACGAATATCTTGTATTCTTCTTTCTGAAAGACAAAGTAGAATGCAGAGAATAAAGTAATTCTATTACAGTCCCCCTCATTACACCATGCACTACATTTATTCTGATTTTTACAGACTAGACAGGTGTGGTCTCACCACAAGTTCATGTGAGTATCTATCAACAGCTCTACAATCTGTAAACTCTTCTCTGAAAGAGCTAGACCTGAGTAACAATGACCTTCAGGATTCAGGAGTGGAGCTGCTCTCTGCTGGGCTGAAGGACTCACACTGTAAACTGGAGACACTCAGGTGAACTTCCTGTGAATTGATTTTTGAATGGAAATAAGCTGATAAGGCAGAATAAAATGTAAACATAAATACTAACAGAATTAATTAGGATTTTGAAATTCTGTTGTTTCTGACACTCCAATCCTAACAATAATATAGAAATACACAAAACTGGTGTACTATGTTATCAACACAACATGATATGCCTATTTTGTTACTGTATTCATAAATCCTTCTTTGACTACATTGTAATGCCTATTTGCAGACTACACATCTGTAATTTTGGTGCAAAAGCTTGTGAAAATCTGGGATCAGCTTTACAATCACCAAACTCCTCCCTGAAAGAGCTGGACCTCAGCAACAATGACTTGCAGGATTCAGGAGTGGAGCTGCTCTCTGCTGGACTGAAAAGCTCATTTCATAAACTGGAGACACTCAGGTGAGTTTTCTGTGAATTAAGTCCTGAATGGAAAAAATTAAAGAAAGAATCAATGATCTGGTAAATCAATAACTTAACATTATTTTTTCTATGGTCGGCTCTCTGTCCTTATTCCTGTAATGAACGTGTAGTGAGTTGTCATGGCATGTTCTCTCTCATTCAATTCAGAAATCTTTCTTTGAGTCTGTTGTAATAAAATAGACTAACCGCCAGTAAAAATGAAGACTAAAAATTAAGATTCAGTTTTTTTGTTGGTTGTCTTGTTTTGCTCATCGTAATTACATACAAAAACATTACTGTAATGACTAGTATTTAGCATGTGCACTGATAGGCTAAATAGTGATTACAGACTACAGGAAACAACTCAATGTATTTGTATGGTGAAATGTTTTTGCACTGAAACTTATTTAAACCTATTTCAGTTTAGAAATGGAGCAGGAATATCTCAGTGGTTTGGTGTAAATGACAATCTTGAAATTAGAGGAAAAAGATTTGAAGGCACTGCTGATAGCTTTGCTTTTAAGACAGTTAAAGAAGTACATTTTCTAAGGAAATGATTTGTACACTATTTAAACCCACATTGTTTAAATAGTTTCCTAATACTTTAATTGTAATTTATTTGATATTTAATTTCTTTTTACAAAGTAAAAGATTTTTCTCAGAAATCTCTTGGAGGGGAGGTCCCAGAATATGTTACAAGGTGTTGAAACATTTGAAATGGGGACTATACCTCCCACATGAAGTGGGAGATTAAAAAAATGATATTGAGAGGTTGGAGTTTTATATAGCACAAGCCCTGCGCAATGTTAAAAAAAAAAAGCTTTAGCACGTAGTGTTAGAAATTCAGCAGGAAGAGTCAGGAGACTGGATATTCAGATTTCGAGGTTTATTCACATGTTTGCAGAGAATCATGCACAGACACAGCTTGATCATTGGTCTGTCACTAGTCCAGTGAACACACAGTCTGACACAGTTTAAGTAGAGATACTGAGGGTCAGGAGAGGGAGCAAATAGGGAGGGGAAGAAGTTGAAAGGAGGAAGGATCAAAAGTTAGTGGAGAAGGTGAAGGGGGAGGTGAAGGGGTCAAGGTTAAAAGTGGCAATGTCCTCACCTCAGGAGGGACACAAACCAAAGGACATACAACTGTAAGTAAATACAGCTGAAACAAAGGGACAGCAGTTGGCTCACTGCTTATCTTCACTGTTTAGTTTTGAGTTGTGGAAGGAATAAGAAATCGGTTTATGAGTAAATGGAGTACAATTAGGTAAAATAAATCGGTTCAGAGTAAATGGAGTACAATTAGGTAAAATATCCTTAATAAAGATCAGAAATTGAACACATTTAATCGAAAAATAAATTATTGATGGATTAGATCTAATCCAAATAAGGAAATGGGCCTCTTTCATGAAGCCTTTCTAAATAAATGAGCAAACCACAAGTAAACTAGGAATCCAACAGTGTGTTTATGTTAATAAAATGAGGTTTGTAATTTGGGTGTGCATGCATGGTTCTTTCAGTAAACACATCATTAAAATAACCCAGATTCATTTACAAATTACACATGACCATCATATAAAGAATCCATTAGACTCTCTGATAAAGCTAGTAAATCCTTAACAAGTTTGTGCAAAATAAGCTAAAAAGGAAATTATTGGAAATTTCTTGGGTGATACGCTCCCCAATTCACTTTAAAATGAGTTTGTTTTAACTTACATTAACGTTGCTACCCTAAAACTAAGATTTCATTACATTTCTGTTAAAAAGCTCACAGGATCTAAGAAATAAAGAATTGATCTGTTAACACACTATTTTTTACAATATGATAATGGACATATATCTAAAGTACATTCATTCAATGTTTCACTATTGAAATTTTACTTTATTGTCGCACCTCAGCTCTGTTTAAGCATTTGATTTAGTATGTATATGCTATCAAAATAATGTCAGCAAAACATTTACATATGTACAGAGCTGTGGAAAAGTATTTTCTTATTTCCTCAATTTTGAATATTTGTCACACTAAACAGTTTTAGATAATCATACAAAAAGTAACATAAAACAAGGGGAACATGATTAAGTATAAAACTCTGATTTTAAGTGATTTCATTTAGTGAGGGAAAACAGTTTTCCAATATCAACTGAATGTAAACACCACTTAAATAGACCCCCTCCAGAAATGTGATGTAGGCTAAAATGTCTCAACGAGCAGCACACTACACCACAATGAAAAGAAATCAGTCTGGAAAGAGTTACAAAGCCACTTCTAAGGCTCTGGGACTCTGCTGAACTACAGTGAAAGCCATTATCTCCAAATGGAGAAAACTTTGAACTGTGGTCAGTCTTCGTAGAAAGTGGTCTGCCTACCAAAATTCCTCCAAATGACAACTCATCCAGGAAGTCACAAAAGAATCCAGACAAACATTTAAGAAACTGCAGGCCTCACTCGTCTTAAATAATGTCAGTGTACATGACTCCACCATTAGAAAGAGACTGGAGAAAAAGATATCAGTGGGAGAGATGCAAGGCAAAAACCATGGCTAACCCAGAAGAACATACAGGCTTGTCTCACATTTGCCAAAAAACACCTTGATGACCCACAAAGCCTTTTGAAATAGTGTTCTGTGGATTAATGAGTCAAAAGTGGAACATTTTGGAAAACCAGGGAGTTCCATTACATCTGGTGTAAAGCTAAGTCAGCATTCCACAATAAGAAAATCATACCACTGTGAAACATGGCGGTGGTAGTCTGATGGTATGGGAACGTTTTGCTGCTTCAGGGCCTCTGTAACTTGCCGTAATTGATAGAACCATGAATTCTGCTCTTTACTACAAAATCCCGCAACAGAATTTCGAGACATTAATCTGAAGCTCAAATATTATTGGGTTATGCAGCAAGACAACAATCCCAAGCAGAGTAAGTCCATCTTCGGATTGCTCAAACCAAATTAAAGTTATCGAGTGGCCTAGTCAAAGTCCTGACTTAAACCCATTGAGATGTAGTGACACCTCATGCTCAAAAGCCTTGGCTGAATTGAAGCAAAAAAAGAGTGGATCAAATAACTTGAGTGTTTGGTTACAGTTGCTGTTGCAGAAGATGGCACAACAAGTTACTTACATTTACGGGCAGTTACTTTTTTAAATGATCTTTTGAAAACTTATTTGTTTTTCCTCAAGTTCTCCTTGTATTATATTACATTTTATATGAGTGTCCTAATTCATTTAGTGTGACAAATATGTAACATTTTTTTGTGATTTATTTTTTTTTACTTGTTTCCTGTTAATCAAGCAGGATTTTATCACAACATTACAAAACTGCAGGAAATAAAAAAACAACCCCCTTACCCACCCCATCCCTTCCCATCCCACTGGTCCATCCCTTCCCATCCCACTGGTCCATCCCTTCCCATCCCACTGGTCCATCCATCCCTGTTTTCTGTACATAATTTTATTCAATTGACTAAATAAGATTTAGTGCAAAGGATGACATTTAAAAAAAAAAAATGAAAAAGAATGTACCTCATAGCATTTGTTCCAATCTTTTTGTCATATCACAACAAATCTGTTTCCATGTCTCAAGAGTAGATGTTTTAACTTTATTAATCCTAGCTGTGGCCAATTCTAACATAACTATGTCATGCAGTTGAAATAGCCAATGTCATACAATTAGATTATGTGGGTGAAGCCCCTCCGTACAATATTTTTTTTAGCCAATGTTAAACCAGCGAGCCACATCTTCCTTTGTTTCTCTGTTAAATTTAAATTGGAGTCATCGTTTAGCAATAACACAGCTGGATCCATGGGAATTTCTTGTCCAACCAGGGCAGATAATATGGTAGTAACCTTTATCCAGAAGTCATTAACATCCCCACATTCCCACACCATGTGCAAAAAAGTTCCCATCAGTTGTTGTGGATAATGGTTGCAGTAGTAGTAATAAGTAATGTCACATTTCATTTTGAAAGAAGTAATTAGCAAATTGTTTTACTTTGAGTTACTACCCCAATGTCAGTGGCCAAAGATTTCCATTTTTCATCATTGAACAGCAAACTCAGCTCTTGCTTCCAAAATGCCTCTAGTTAATCTAGATGTTGTTTTAGATCTCAGACATTGATTTTTGTGATGAGGTCACAGGTAATGTTTCCTTCCAATTAAAATTTTACTTTAACAGTGTTTATATAATTTCCTGGATGCCTATTTATCTATATATTAACTCTGTGATGCTTCCAGGAGGAAAATGGTTTCTGCTTTGTAGTCTTGGTTCTTCACAAAATCTCTTGCTAATCATATCTCCTGGAGCTCTGAATTATAATGAGATTTTTGTCTTGTAATTAGTTATGTGAAGATGTTGAGTCAGTTTGTGTTTTTGTTTTGTCCTGTTCTGTGTTAGAATGTTGATATATTGTGACGATCCTCCGGACTGTTTGGTTCATTTTGCCCTGAAAGTGTTGCAGGTTGAATTGGGAGGCAGAGCTTGGACCTAATTGGCTACTGAGACACACCAGTGTACAGGTCTTTAAAAGTAAAACTCTGCAAAACTCTTTAAAAAGCTTTCCAATGTGGAGAGTTGGAGCCTCATCATCTCTCTTAGCTGTTTGTTATGAACTTGCTGGAGGCTGGTCTGTAACAATGGGGGGACTGTGTTGTTTTTGGCTGTGCTTTTTCCTGGCTAATAAACTTGATAGGGTTTGCCAGCATTGATTTAGAAGGGTGGGTGGGTTAGTGAGAAAAGATTAAATTGAAAATATTTTGTGTTAGCATTGGGCTCATATGATTAGTTTGGTTTGGTTTTGGTGCCACTTTGGTTCATATTTTGTGTGTTGAAAGCCTTCTCTCTTGATAGGTACAGCAGCATGTCCATTTTGTCATGTTAACCCTTCTTTGTTTTAGTTTGTTATTTTTGAATGATGATCGTACATGAAGCAGTTGACTCAGGGGCACTCCTGAACTGTGGCCTGTTATTTATTTATTTATTTATTTATTTTATTATTATTATTTTTGCACAAATGGGCTTCAGTGCATAAATACATGCCACTAGTAACTGTTTAAAGATCAGGGTCTACTTAGTTAGTTGTCTCTTATCAGTGTCAAGTAGCGAGGGGCTTTCACACACTTGTTTGACATTTTTTGTATCACTTTTGTATACCTCTTTTTGTAATTTAGCTATTTTTTAGTTCCACTGCATAGAGTTTCTCATTTTTAAGACTGCATTAAACTTGAGGTCGGGTTTTCCCTGGGCTCCCTGTGGATGGGGCTTCAGTAATTTTGGGAAACAACCTGGCTGGGGGGTGTGCATAGTGTGATGTGTCACCACCTTTACTGGTAACGCCCATTCCTCCTTGTCTCAGGTTTGTGATGAGCTGGTGCCTTTTCTTGCACCCTTTTGTTCTTGATATTTGTCAAAGGTACTGACAATGTGATACTGGATACATTGTTACAGATACCATTCTCTTAAACTTTATACCTGTTACTTGGTGTTCTGTCCTGTTTTTGCTGTCTTTAAACCGACCAGGGTTGGGGAAGTGCAAGAACATATTGGATGGGACATATTGACTAATATTGATGAAAATTGTAAAATGTAAAATTATTTTCTTTTTTTTGCACATCTTAGTGGGTGGTGGTATATAACGTTTATTTTTTTATGTGGGGTTATGTCAGTGCTTTTTTTGAGGGAGAGGGTGTGATGACCCTGCAGGCTGTTAAGTTTGTTTTGCCATGAGTGTGCTGCAGGTGAAATTGAGAGGGGGAGCTTTGACCTCATTGGCTGCTAAGACACACCGGTGTGCAGGTTTTTCTTTTAAAGGCTTTCCAGTGTGGAGAGCTGGAGTCAGTTTTCTCTGTTTCTCATCACTGCAGGTTCATTTTCTGGCCACTGTGGGGCTAATGCTGTCAGGAATCCAGTGAGTGGGCTTCAGTAGGGCTATCTTTGTGGTTTGCAACCCATTGTAAAATAGATTAATTTGAAAATAAAAACAAGATTTTACTTCAACCTTCACTCATTGTCTCCAACAATTGTTTGTTATGAACTTACTAGAGGCCAATTCTGTACTGCAGCTGGCTTTTACTGTATGTAAATGCCATCTGTCCCTCTTTTTCTTTCCTTTCTGCAGATTGTCTGGCTGTATGGTTACAGATGAAGGCTGTTCTTCTCTGGCTTCAGCTCTGAAATCAAACCCCTCCCACCTGAGAGAACTGGATCTCACTTATAATCATCCAGGAGAGTCTGGATTGAAGCTGCTGTCTGATCTACTGGAGGATCCACACTGTAAACTGGAGAGAATACAGTGAGTTACTGACTTACTGTCCCTGTACACAGACTATAACTATCCAGATTACTGACTGTAATGTTTTACAGTATATGTGTTTTTTAAATTGTGACTGAACACATCTTACAAATTGAGAATAACTTCTTACAGACTGACTGAACACATCTTATACAACGAATTTAACTTCTTACAGGCTGAACACGTCTTACACACTGAGTTTAACTTCTTACAGATGGACTGAACACATTTTACACACTGAGTTTAACTTCTTACAGACTGAAAACGTCTTACATAGGAAGTTTAACTCATTATAGGCTGAACATGGCTTAAACACTAAGTTTAACTTCTTACAGACTGAACACATCTTACACAATGAGTTTAACTTGTTACAGATGGACTGAACACATCTTACACACTGAGTTTAACTTCTAAACAGACTGAACACGTCTTACACACTAAGTTTAACTTCTAAACAGACTGAACACGTCTTACACACTGCGTTTAACTTCTTACAGAATGAACACATTTTACACACTGAGTTTAACTTCTTACACACTGAAAACATCTTACATACCAAGTTTAACTTCTTACAGGCTGAACATGGCTTAAACACTAAGTTCTACTTCTTACAGACTGTAAACATCTTACACACTGTGTTTAACTTCATACAGACTGAACACATCTTACACACTTAGTTTAACTTCTTACAGACTGAAAACGTCTTACACACGGTGTTTAACTTCTTACAGACTGAATACGACTTACACACTGAGTTTAACTTCTTACAGACTGAACACATCTTACACAATGAGTTTAACTTCTTACAGGCTGAACATATTTTACTAACTTACCTCTCACACACACTATCAAACTCTCTCACACTCACTATCAAACTCTCACACGCTATCAAACTCTCTCACACTCACTATCAAACTCTCACACTCACTATCAAATCCTCTCACACTCGCTATCAAACTCTCACAAATGCTGTCAAACTCTCACACTAGCTATAAAACTCACACGCTATCAAACTCTCTCACACTCGCTATCAAACTCTCTGACAGACGCTATCACACTCACACGCTATCAAATTCTCTCACACTTGCTATCAAACTCTCTCACACTCGCTATCAAACTCTCTCACACTCGCTATCAAACTGTCTCACAGACGCTATCAAACCCTCTCACTCTCACTATCAAACTCTCTCACACTAACGATCAAGCTCTCTCACACGCTATCAAACCCTCTCACACTCATGATCAATCACCTCACACTCGCTAACAAACTCTCTCACATTCGTTATCAAACTCACACTCTCTATCAAACACTCAAACACTCATGATCAAACTCTCTCACACACGCTATCAAACTCTCACACGCTATCAAACTCTCTCATACTCGCTATAAACTCTCACACTCGCTATCAAATCCTCTCACACTCACTATCAAACTCTCACAAACACTGTCAAACTCTTTCACACTAGCTATCAAAATGTCACACGCAATCAAACTCTCTCACACTCGCTATCACTCTCTCACACGCTATCACACTCACACATGCTATCACACTCACACACGCTATCAAACTCTCTCACACACGCTATCAAACTCTCACACACGCTATCAAACTCTCTCACACTCACTATCAAACTCTCACACACGCTATCAAACTCTCACACTCACTATCCAACTCTCACACACGCTATCAAACTCTCTCACTATCACTATCAAACTCTTTTACACTCACTGTCAAGCCCTCACACTATCAAACTCTCAAACACACTATGAAACTCTCACACACACTATCAAACTCTCACACACGCTATCAAACTCTCTCACACTCATGATCAAACTATCTCACACTAGCTGTCAAACTCACACACGCTATAAAACTCTCACACTCGCTATCAAACTCTCACACACGCTATCACACTCACACACGCTATCAAACTCACTCACACTCGCTATCAAACTCACTCACACTTGCTATCAAGCTCTCTTACACTCAATATCAAACTCTCTCACACTCACTATCAAACTCTTACACACGCTATCAAACTTTCTCACACACGCTATCAAACTTTCTCACACTCGCTATCAAACTCTCACACACGCTATCAAACTTTCTCACACTCGCTATCAAACTCTCACACACGCTATCAAACTTTCTCACACTCGCTATCTAACTCTCACACATGCGATCAAACTCTCTCACACTCGCTATCAAACTCTCACACTCTATGAAACTCTCACACACACTATCAAACTCTCTCACACTCGCTATCAAACTCTCACACACGCTATCAAACCCTGTCACATTCATGATCAAACTCTCTCACACTCGCTATCAAACTCTCACGCTCACTATAAAACTCTCACACATGCTATCACCTCTCTAACACACACTATCAAACTCTCACACTCTCTATCAAACTCTCTCACACTCATGATCAAACTCTCAAACTCGCTATCAAACTCTCACACTCTGGATTGGCCAGGCTTATCACTCTGTATATAATTCAAAAAAACGTGGCACTTCCATCCTGATCAGGAAGAACATACCATTCATAAGTACCTCTATGCTGAACGACCCAGAGGGCCGTTACATTATTATTAATGGCACTATTGGGAAAGATAATTAACTTTAGTAAATATTTATGGACCAAACACAGATTCTCCTGCTTTCTTTCATTCCCTCTTCTCAGAAATATCTAAATTCTCTGACTCATTTTTTATAATTGGTGTGACTTCAATACAGTTCTGAACCCATGCATAGATCGTTCCTCTTCAGCACAATGTAACGTAAATAATCATTCAGCAACGTTGCTTAAACAATACGTCAGATTATGGACTGGTGGATATTTGGAGATTGCAGAACCCCAGCAGTAAAGAATATTCATATTTCTCCCCTTACCACAAGTCATACTCCCGTATAGACTATTTTTTGTCTAACAATTCTATCACACATAGAATAATTCATACAGATATTAATAGTATTATTATTTCTGATCATGCCCCAATTAGTATCACCTTTCTAGCAGACTATCAATCCCTCCCTCCACCAAGATGGCGCTTTAACACTACTTTACTCAATGATAAAGAATTTCTAGATTATTTTAACCAGGAATGGGCAGCCTTTATTGAAACTAACGAACATCCTGACATTACAGCTTGCACACTTTGGGAAACAGCAAAAGTGGTGATGAGAGGAAAAATCATTTCATACTGTTCTAAAAAGAAGAAGGAAGACTTAGTAAAAGAACAAAAGCTGCAGAGGGAGGTGAAGAGATTGGACCTTCTGGCCTCTCAGACTCCTACTGATTCAATTATTAAAGAACTAATGAAAACTAAATACGAACTTAATAATATACTACAAAAGAAGACCGAACAGGATATGCTTAAACTTAGACAGCAATTTGAATTTGGAAATAAAACTGGGAAAATTTTAGCAAATCAATTAAAACAGGAAACTGAGAAATCAATAATAACAGCAATCTCAGATCCCTCTGGTAGGATCATTCAGGATCCCCTAGCTATCAATGAGGTATTTAGGTCCTTTTACTCCAATCTCTATACTTCTGATAAGAAAGCCTCAATGGAAGAAATTGAAGCATTCTTGAGCAGCGTCTCCCTACCTACATTATCTACATCTGTATCAGAATCTATAGACAGACCTCTTTCCTCTGAAGAAATCACCAAAGCCCTCTTTCTAATGCCTAACCATAAATCACCAGGACCGGATGGCTACCCAGCAGAATTTTACAAACAATTCTGGCCTCTTATTTCACCGCTGTTTTTAAAAGCAATCTCAGAAATGTTTGAAAATACATCCATACCCTATCATATGAATACTGCTCTTATCACACTTATCTTAAAACCAAATAAAAAATCCACAGATTGCTCCAGCTACCGTCCCATTTCACTGATCAATTCAGACATAAAAATCATAAGTAAAGCTTTATCAGTCAGATTGGAATCGGTCATACCCACTCTCATAAACACAGATCAAACTGGGTTCATCAAAGGGAGACAGTCTTCAGAGAACACACGCAGGTTATTCAATCTAATTCATATGTATAACAGCGAAAAATCTCTGTATATATCAAAAAAATATCCGTATATATGTATAATAGCATCTCTGGATGCTAAAAAGGCGTTTGACAGGGTGGAGTGGTCCTTTCTCTTTGCTTCTCTCAAACACTTTGGATTTGGCCCATACTTTATCAACTGGATAAAAACATTATACAACTCACCTTCTGCCTCAGTCTCAACAAACAGACATATATCCAGACCCTTTCAGCTACAAAGAGGAAGTCGACAAGGATGTGCTTTATCACCTTTATTGTTTTGTCTTTTTATTGAACCCTTGGCTGCTTCTATCAGACAGTGCAATAAAATCTCAGGTATACAGTCAAAGTCATACCACCATAAAATCAGTCTGTATGCAGATGATGTTTTACTGTATATTACTAATCCTTCACTATCCCTTCCATCAGTTCATGATCTGATAAATAAGTATAGCAGGGTGTCTGGTTATTCCATTAATTGGTCCAAATCTGAGTTTCTGCCTCTAAGTAAATTCAACTGGGATGACGAGGTCTATGATATACCATCTGAACATATCGCCCAGTCTATTAAATATCTTGGTATTCATATCTCTTCTAACATAAATGATTTGTATAAAATTAATTACATACCTTTAATGCAAGAAATAAAGGATAATCTAGAAAGGTGGAATAAATTACCATTATCTCTAATTGGCCGAATATCAGCAGTTAAAATGAATATCCTTCCTAAAATCTGTTTTCTATGACCCCTGTTACCCCACCGTCAGGCTGGTTCTCCTCTCTTGACAATGCAGTGACTAAGTTCTATTGGAAGCACCAAAAGCCTCGAATCAAGTTAGCTACCCTCCAGAAACCTAAACATCTTGGAGGACTGGGAGCCCCAAATTTCTACTACTACTTTCTATCACATCAATTGCTTTACATTAGACATTGGACAACTAGCTCAAACC